GGGTACGCACGAGACGAAGAACATTGACACGCCCGTGCCACCGAGACCAGCGAAGGCACCTGCGGCGGGGAATATGATCATACCGTCTGAGCGTAAAGAAGCCTCAGCGCTGGCCAACGTGATCGCGAAATACGTACGCACAAGAGACGCCGTCAAGGATATTGAGCAATGTGCCCAGGAGTACAGCCGGCAAAGACTGAACAGCAGTGACAGCCGCGTTCTTCACATCACGGGGAGTGATGTGCGGAGCACGGGGGCGGCGCAGAATGGAAACAATGCGACTTCTGCGATCCGTAATGTCTGCCTTGGAGACAGGGAGCTGACCGTTGCTGTGATGGGCCGCCTCTAGGTCGTCCAGCAGAGGAGTTGTCTCTGAGGGCGTGCTGGCCCCATCGTCTGGGGTAATGCCTGCGAACGAGATCACCGGAGACAGAGCCGGCCTCACCAATAGACGCACATTGCTCGCCGGGTCCGTGGGCAAGCGGCCGTTCGGGTACTCCGCAGTGGGGGTGGGTGTCAAGGAGTCACTAGGCGAGCCCTCTGCGCTCTGTCGAGCCAGGAGCAGTGAGAGACCTGACGGACCCCCCCGTCCGCGAGGAGTGGCTGACCCCGACGGCGTAGAGCTAATGGTCGTAGTCGACGCAGCGAGGTCTGTCAAGCTGTCTGCGGAGCGGTTCGAAGGTACGAGGGAGATGGTCGAGCCGGTGTGCGGGGGTGTTTCCACAGGGCCCGGGTGCGGAGGGGCATCGAGATCAGGGAAGATGAAGGCATCATCCTCAGAGTGAGACGGAGAGAGGAGGGGTATACTAGAGATGTGCATGGTGCTGTCCCGGATGGAGTCCTGAGTGCGGAGCGCGACATTACGAGGTCGAAAAGACTTGGAACTTGAGGTCGCAAAACTTCTCGGCTGTAATAGACTTGCCAGGAAGGGGTCAGCAGCTGATCACGCAAAGAAAGAGAATTGGTATGAAAGATGGTTCTTACCCGGCTCGGGCTACGGGAGACGCGCCCATTCGCAACCCATCGTGAACAGAAGGTGATTCTTCGTCATTCTCGGTTACAGGCATGGCACCCGGGGCTGCTTCTCCGAGAGGCGAGTCCGACGATGGACGACGCTCCGGCATTGAGATCGAGGGAGTGGAGCTAGCCAGCTTCACTCTGGAGAGAAAGGAACCACCGAGCAGAGGAAGAGGGAGTCGCAGTAGCCCATCGACCCAGGCGAGCCACCGTCGCACCGCCGGATAAGGATTGACGCATCGACGGAACGATCCCGTGACCTGCCAAGCTCTGTCCGGCGCGTGGCGTCACGCGTTGCTCGGAGGAGGTGGTGAGGGTAAGAAGGAAGGGCATCAACTTTGAACGGCCAAAGTCCGCATCTTATACCTGCGTAAGAATATCACAAGCATATAGCATGAGCCCGGTCGCCCAGTATCAGGCCGGAAAGGGAAACTGCTACGTCATAGCCGCCGCTTAGGCGTATGGTCATCGCCTTACGCTTCAGCTTCGGGTATAGATTTAGTTATAGCTTGACTGGCCGTCAACTGAGAGCTAGTAATTGATAAGGAGGTGCCGTACGCGCTTTGCTAGTCTACCATTGAAAGCGAAAACATAAAACATGCAAACACAATCGATATCGCGATTTCATTCCCAATAGGAGAGTATAACTAGTAGCATTTACCGACGTGAATCAATATATCCTTACGGCAACATGAACAACACCTATCTCTGAAAACGGCTGGGCAAAGGCCCATATCAGGCATGTTATATATCCCCCGATATAGAGATGAGGCCATAGCTTGCGATCAGCTTTGAAGCTTGATCAAAGAGGGTTATTTGACAGAGGCGGCAGTGCAGGACACTGTGATAGAGGTGCGTGCGCCGGGACTCATCAGGTAGCAGCAACCCAAGCTTGAAGCTTGAAGTTCCAAGGAAACTTGTGAAGCGTCTGCAAAAGACTCGATGTCGATGCAAACGAGTACGGCCGGGCCGCCAGTGTTGGTTTAGGGCAGACTAAAGCGCGTTGACCGCTTAGGCGCTGCTGCATCCTCGACGCGCGACTTTCAACGTTCTACTACTCGTGCAAGACTCACTCCATTGACTTGAGCTTCATGTCTAACTGGCTAGATGACCTCAACCTCGTACCCAACGGGCCCCGGGCAGGGCCATCCTTCGTCGACCGCGCCCGACACGCGCCCGACGACGAGGACTATCCTGTCGCAGACGACTTCGGAAGACCGGATCCCAACCTGCTCGGTCCACTCGCACAGGAAGAGGAGGAGACACCATCTCAGCAGCTCATACGACATTGGATGAACGAGCGCCAGGCGCCAGAGATCCTTCCCGGGCAGGAGATGTTGCTTGGGAGGATACTGGACCATGTCAGAAAACAGGTGAGTTACTGTGCCATGATCTCCGGCCAAATGCTGCGAACGGAGGTATCAGACCTCAGTTGGTTTGGAGCCGGAAGGCTCTCGATGCAATCACAGGTGCAATTTGTGAAGCACTGCACTCAGCTCGGAGCGTGCACGGAGAGCCTTGTACCATAACGAGACCAAGCGCTCTCAGACTTCCCTTGATCGTCAGTAGAACGCAGCGGCAAGTTGACAACACTTAGCTGTAGTCCGATGACGTGCAGCTCCTGCGCGCGGACCCCGACTCCTCGGAGGACGAGCACTTCCGCATCATGCTCGTCCAAACTGAGATCGAACGTGTCAAGTTCGTCGTCCGTTCCTACATCCGCACACGTCTATACAAAGTAAGCCACGCATACGCTCTCGGCAGACGGTAGAGCTCATCCCCATAGATCGAGAAATACGCTCGTTGGATAAGTGCTACTCCAGACGAGCACGAGAAACTATCCAAAGCGGAGCTCGACCACGCGCGGAGGTGAGCATACCATGTGTGCCACATAGTCGTGTCTGACAATGCGGTTCAGATATGCAAGGTTGACGGAGTATCACTTCAACCAATGCGTACTCCAAAGCCTCCCGCCGCAACAGCGCTCTCTAGAGGACGAGATGGCTTTCATGCCGCCCATGAGTGAGTAATTCGCATTGCCGCGCCTTCGCGTTCTTCGGACTGAGAGCTCTCGGTAGTTCCCGAACCGGACAAACTGCGCCCCGTGTTCGTACATGCAAGGCAGGACTGTCCGCCCGTCCGGTTGCCCGAGTGAGTATACCGTCGTCCCCGCTAGCTCTGAGCGCTAAATGCCCTTCAGCGGTACGTCGATTGCCATGGAGAAAGGCCGGATATCATTGACACCGTACTACGTCGTGGAGCAATTGTTGCTACGAGGAGAGGTAGAGCTCGTGTAGTCTGTAACATTGTCGACCCTGTTCGCCGTCATACCATCTTGATCTCCTGTGCACCCCATTATCACGCGCATACGGTTACCTGGCATGCTTCGTGTAACGGGACTAAGTACAGGCTATTGAGAACCACATATTGGAAGTGTTGTGATTTACAAGTGAGCAGAACATCTATCTTTACAGTATGTCTCGACACTTAACGCGTTGTTACTTGTACAGCGCGAACACTCTCTCATCCATCACACCGCACTCCCCGCCTGGCTTCATCTTCACAAAGCTGACATTGTTTGTTCTGCGCTTTGTTCCACTCGTGTGAATGCTGCGGCAATAACTCACGGAGCGTCGCTGGATCATACACCAGAAATAAGCAGCTATGTATCTCAATTCCATGTATTGCATGCTACAATTTGCCTTTGGTGTTCATGTGTGCCATTTTTAGCCCCCACTTGCATGCAATAAAACAAGAGGTCATGAAACATATAGGTTGCATGTACTACCACCGTGCGCGACATGCTGCCCATCTCGACACTTCTGACACTTTCTATAGACTCAAATTGATCAGTAGGTTGTGAATGTGGGGTTCCCAGGGTCATAGAATGAATATCGAGGGAGTTAAAGTTTGGTATGTGCGGGCGAGACGCGATGTTGCGCAGGCATTATATACAGTCTACATGTCGCTAGCGCAACACAATGCAGTAAAATACAAATTATACAGAGTTTGTTTCATGAGCACACTCGCCTAGCCCTCCCAATCATCGTCGTCGTACTCATCCCGCCGTACAGGGCCCGCTTCGCCGCCCGTGTCGTTCTCCTCTTCCATCTCCTGGTCATCATCTTCTGGCTTCTCTTCCTTCTCTTTCTTCTTCCTAGAACGGCGCTTCGGCGGGGCGACCTCGCCCTCGCCCTCGCCTTCCTCCTTCGCCTCACCCTTCTTTCGCCGACGCCGTGGGGCGGGGGCCGCACCCTCCTCGCCATCTGCCGCGGAAGCGCGCTTCCCCTTCCCTCCGCGCCGCTTGCGTCCCGACTCGGTGGTGTCGGGGTCTAGGTCGATGGTTCCGCCCGCAGAGGGGTCGGGTACAGCCTCGACGATCTCCTTCAAGAAGTCGAGCATGTCGACGGTCTCCACGGCGTGCTTCCTGAGTCGAGGTGTGTCCAGCGGCTAGAGACCGGGTACAGCGTACTCACAGATGGTATGCCTCTACCCGCTTGGATCCCCGGTCCAGTGTGACTTTGCTAGCCTCGTCGATGATCATGGCGAGGAAGAGCTCCAAAGCTTTGGCTATCCGGGTGCATCAATAAGCCACTCGGCAGCGACGCGCGCGAAGCGGTCCTACAGGGTACGTACAGATGACGATGGGCGTGGCCTGCGCGACTTTACCGACCTCCTCATCCTTCTGCATGATGCGCTTGATCCGCGCCTGCGGGAGAGAGCATTAGGTTCGTCGTCGGCAAAGGGCAGGCGGTCAAGACATACAACCGGGAATTTTGTGGTCTTGTTCTTGTTCTTCATCGAGGGCGCCGTGCTTGCTGTGTGGTGGGGGTGAGAGAGGGCGAGTAGATGTGTTGCAAGGTTGATGGTGAGGAAGCCTTACTTATAAGTAGTGCAGAGATCGAACAGCCGCTCGTCGGGCGCCTATTATGAGGTGAAATAACCAATCAGGCTTCAAAGTGGCCCAAGCCTCCCCTTGCAATACACTGATGGTGAAACGGTATCATGCTTGCCTTCCATAGTTATTGCTTCGGTAAGCAAGCGGCACGGGTTCGACTCCCGTTCAGTGTATTTTTAGGTGTTTTGTTTTGCCACAGTTACTCTTTTTTTTTTTTCTTTTTTTTTAAATTCTACGAATTTATACTCCATACTCTAAGTACATGCAGAGTATCTACTGAATGTTTCAGTCTTCTCCTTCCGCCTCCGAAGGAGGCGGTGTGATGACATAAAGCATTCCAAAGTCATCAAGGAATTGCTCATTATCCCTTTCTTCTGCGTCTAACAACCGCCCTTCAGGTAAGATGAACCCCCGATGAGGGAGATCCACCCACCCTTGGTCTAGATGCGCAATAATAAGTTCCTCCTCCTCTAGTTGAGAGGCACGAGGGGCAAAGTCGAGGATGGGGTCCTCGTGATCGACTGGGGCAATTTCGTGTTCCTCCGCTTGTGACGGAGGAACTACTTCCTCTCCCAGTACTCTTTGTTCGGGCTCCATGACCCCGCGGATGGGAATGTGGACAAAGGGCTCGTCCATTATCTCATTTCGTTCAAGCGCTTCACGCCTGCCTTCTTGAATTTCCTCAGCGTCCCTGTACTGCCACGTTCTGTACAGTTCTTCTGCGAACTTCTCTGCCTTCGACGGATCAAATGCCGCCGCATATTTCCTGTGGGCTTCTTTTTGGGTTCGTTTACGTTCCCTTTCAGAGAGCCCATCCCATTCCTTCTGGAATTCCAGAACTTTACCAGCGCGCCACACTGTGTGCGCTTCTAGTCTAGCCCACGCCATGGTGTGCTCATTGCCCTGGGCGCGGTCCTCCTTGCATTTGGAGAGGATCTCTGCCCATTCAAATGTGCCAACCATAGGGTTGAGTTGGAGGAACTTCAGGACATCGAGCGAGGACCACCCCCGCTGACGCCTGGAGTACCAAGACTTGCCTTGCGCAAGGTCCCGCTTGGAGAACGGACCCACAAAAGGCTTACGCTCATACTTCTTGTGCCTCATGTAGTACGGGCACTTGAAAAGTATGTGATCTCGGGTTTCCCGGTACCCGTTTCGAAGGCGGCACGGACATTTGTCCGATTCTCCCGGTTGGAGAAGCTTAAAGCGCTTCTTGAATTCCCCGCTCGGGAAGTGTTCAGTGATAACCCGCGTGAATCGGGCCACCTCCTTATTGCGAATCTTAGTGGGGAACGCGAGTTCCTCATAAGTTTTGTCCTCGCCGTCTGCATTTGTCTTGCTCAGATCGACTTTTCCTAGGGATAGGAAGGGTGATTTACCTGTGGTACGAGGCTTTAGCCCCTCGTCCCACCATAAACCATACCCTAGATAGGCACTGTGACAAGTGCGAATGGATTTGTCAGGGACTCCCGGTACTCCTGCCACCGGTGTGCGCTTGACTTTGTACTTGAGGCCGGCAATGTCCGACCAATCGTCTATTACTTTCTGGCGGATCTCTTGTCCCCGGAAAGCAAATGATTTGTAATCAGGCAACGGTTCGTCTGATTTGTTTATGTCAGAAGCGAGTTTGTCCACATACTCGTTCCATTGAATCCCAACATGAGATGGGCTCCATAGGAATACAACCTTGCGGTTCATTTCCTTTAAATATTCACTAATCCACACACCGTGGAGTTGGCCTGAGCCAACCCCACTGGGTTTCATAGCGCGCCTCAAATTACCAATATTGTCGCTGGCAATTACTATAGTGTGATCCGATGGATGAATCACTTCCATGGCTGCCTTGACACCGAGATAGCATGCCTGCACCTCCGCGTCAAAGCTCGTGCACTTCCCGGACATCCAAGAGTCCTCCGAGACCATTTCGTCATTGCGCGTAATGACATACGCGCCCGACGCCCTCGTTTTTTGCAAGTTTGGCTTGCCTTTGACCTGGAGATGATCATCATCTTTCCCCGGGATGACAGACCCATCCGACCATATGATCAGGGTGTTTCTGTCATGCATGTATGTGGACGCCGCAGGCGTCCATGTGTTATGAATCCAGTCTTTGAAATCATCGCTGACTTTGCCATTTTCTCCGCCCTTTTTCCTTGGGATAGATTTGATGTTGTCATCATGATTATCACGATGAAACAACACATGTTTGATGGCGTCATCTCCATCACGCTCAATCATCCTGTCACCAGGCCTACATACCGATGCTAAGACATGGAATATTTCATCCGTTGTCTTGGCCATTTTCTCAAAGTGCACCATAGGGGACTTTGATTTGCTGCGCTTTCCTACTCGGAACGGCATTTCAGCGTTGAGATCCGATGTGGGGACATCCGAGAGCTCCCACTCATGACTCATTAATGCCCGGGTGGGATGACCTGGGTGAAGAGTTTTGATACAGAGAGCATGCTTCTCCATGTATCTTGTGATGTTTACTTTCACCGGAACCACTCCGGCGATCAATTCCATGGCTCCAATCGGGGTCGTTCGGAACGCCCCCGTGATCCATCTGACAGCTCGGGATTGCGCCCCCTGCATCTCTTTCGCAATCCAGCCAATTCCTTTCCACCCAGGTTTCCACCACAGGTGCGCGCCATAACACATGAGCGGGAGCACATGCGCTATGTATAATTGTCTCTTTTGCATGGGGGTGAACCCCCGAAGAGAGTTGCCTAGCATGGTGAGAGTGGACACCGTGCTGGCTGCTTTAGCCGCGTAAAAGCGGATGTGAGATTTGAATGACAATTTAGGATCCAGATAGAATCCTAGATATCTCATTGACACCTTTGGAACGATGCGATTGATCTTTCGGTCAATCTCGATCACAACGTCTGGGCCTGTGGGCTTATCAGGCTTCCACGGTTTCCGCTTCTTCCAGAAGTGCATGACTTCCACTTTATCAGCTTCCACTCCCAACCCGACCCGTAATAAGTCGCCATTAAGGGAGTGGAACATAACCTGCAGGTACTCCACATTGAGTTCTACCTGCATGATATTGCGCCGAATCGTTGATTTCAACGGCGCGGCTACCATGAATGCACCGTCGTCCACATAGAACTTCAGTGTGCCATTCCCAGGCATCTTACGATCCACTGGGAAATGTTTGTGTAAGATAGGAGCGATATACAGCCCCGATCCCATTGGAGAGAAGGCAGACCCCTGACCCACTCCCAACGGTGTGGGAGTGGCGTCTGTGAGCTTGCCATTAAACAAGTACCGGGTAAACCGGCCCTTTAGATAATCAGCAAAGAACTCCACCAAGTCCTCCGCGAATCCCTCCCGCCTCAACACTTCAACAAGAATGCTGTGATTTAGAGATGGGTAAAATTGAGATACATCCAACAGCAACATTGAAGGAGTGAGATCTCGTGCCCAAGCTTCGTGCACAAAGTGCATGACTTCGATGCCAGCATCAGTGGTACTGTGTTGCATTGTACCGCCGTACTGGCATGGATGCATGATGCCAAATTTCTGAGCATCAAATTGCATGCGCTTCGCAAGTATCTTTTCGAATAGCTTGCCAAACACGCTGAGGAGACATATTGGACGATATGCTTTGGCTTTAGTGTAATCCGGCTTGTTAGGCTTGGGGATTACCACCGTTATGGACCGCTTGAACGCAGTGGGGAACTTATGCTTTCTAATGCAAGCGTTGAAGAAAGCTTTAAAGAATTGGTAGACCTTGGGTCCCCAGTGAATGTACGTGATGTTGTCATTTTCGTCCGTTTTCTTTTCTATGCAATGGAATATGGTTTTAGCCCATAACCAATTGATGTGATCTTCCCCGCCGACTGAGGTATTACTCGTGTCCGCAAGGTTTTCCGATATCTCCTCATTGGAGATGTCATTAAATGTCCGAGTTTCCCATTTAGGAAGTTCGTCCATAATACTCATGTCCACTTGTCGGGGAACCGACGGAGTGAACTGCTCTCGGAATTCCGTTTGGAGGTCTTCCTGACTATCTATGACGGTGCCATCAGCGCGCTTGATTTGCACGCTGGAGTCGAGCCGTCTAGGCCGCGTCCACGCCACATAATTAGATATGAGTTGCGGGTGCGCGTGAGCAATGATCTTATCAAAGAAGACCCTTTTAGCGCGCTTGGAAGCGGCAGCTACCCATTGGCATGCAGACTTCACGCCCTTTTGCATGGTATTATGTAATTCATTGTACCGTTCATACTGGACGCTTTGACGTCCCAGGGTGCGGAAAGCTAAGCCCCTTAGCTTTCGCAGTATTTTATTCCTTTTACGGGCTAGACGCAAACTTTTAGAGGCCTGCGCGCACTCATCATTCCACCACGACTTGGAGTGACCAGTACGATTGGGTTTGGAAGCATGCTTCTTCCATAGCTCTTGAATACCGGAGAATAATGCTTCCCCGGTGTTCTCAATATCTTGCGCGCTTTCCCACTCAAGTGGGAGGCCCGCAATTAATTTAGCCACATCTTCGTTGAATTTCCAAGATTCCTTAGAGACCCGTCCAAGTGTAGGTTCAATGTTGGGAGCTCCGCCCGCAACTACTTTCCAGACCAAGGGCGAATGATCGCTCTTGTGCCTGGCTCCGTGTTGAACCCTAAAGTCCTGTAATTCGTAATCGCCTCTCTTCCACACCAAATCCAGTGTGTATCGAGGCAACGCTGCATTGTTCGACTGCCATGTAGGCGGTCCGTCCTCACTGTTAACCAGGAGGAGTTGGAGCTCAGCGGCGAGGTCCATTAATTCTCCGCTCTTCTGAGCATGAGGCGGGTTCATGTTGTGTTCCCGTGTGCGCTTATCCCACGAGGCATGGCGCAAGTTGAAATCTCCACACATCATAGAGATGGGAGGAAGGTGCGCAGACACATTTAGCAGGTGCGAGACTGCCTCATGCTCATTGCTGTCATTATACACGTTGAGAACCGTGAACGGCCCGTCCGGTGTGTTGATGCTGACTAAAAATGTGTCGTTGTGTGACACATTACCTGTGATGACATGGGGCGACGCGCCCCTCCATTTCCGGTTGACATAGGTTGCCACCCGCGAGTCTTTGCTTGCCCCATAGCAAGCAAAATTGCGGTGCGCGCTGATGTGACCGAACGAGCACGAAACCCTCCACACAAGACACGTGTGCGGGAGA